AGGAAATAGATGTTTATACAAATTGTATTCCTATTACCCACAATATTTTTTTCCTGTTCTCTCTTCTGCAGGGGCAGTAAAGGACATGCTGTTGCCTTCAGTTTGTTCTTTGGCATAGCCTTCATGGTTAGTAGCTTTTCTCTCCTGACAGTGAGTGAGAGAGTCTGCAAGGCAAAGCATATGCAGTTTATGAGTGGAGCACATGTTGGCATTTTCTGGCTTTCTGCTTTATTTTGGGACATCATCGTCTTCTTCGTGTCTTCCTCCCTGCTTGTGGTAAGTGATTAGTGTGTATCTGGACTCTTTCTCCTCCTGCTCAGGTCACATCCCTAACTCCTGATGGAAATATCTTCACATACAGTGCTCTTTCTGCCCACATCCTCATCCAACAACTACTTGGAGCATCCCCTGAGCACCTCAAGAGACATTAGCCACCAGCTAACTGAGCCTGAGCCTGCCTCTCGTATACTTGCTTAACATGAGAAATTTCACCCTAGGATCTTAGTAAAATTTATTATCAGGAATATCTACAAAGCTATGCCATCTTCACTGTAACTCCCTTAATCAAACAAAAAAGAGAGAGAGAATAAAAGGAAATAAACCTACTCAAACTAGGGGAGAGGAAAATGAGAGAGAAGAGGAAGGAGGTAGAGAAAGGCTTGTTCTGTTTCTTTGTAGTTATTTTCAATATGAATAGGTGGATGTGCCTCACCCTGAGGCCTATGAACCTAGGTTTTAAAAGGCAGAAGTAGACTTCTGGTAAGATGACAGTATAGGCAGACAAGCTACATAGACCCTCTCCAACAAATAAAAGAGAAACCAATTGACACAGATATGGAAGAAAATTCTGGAGTCCTGAGCTTTGAAAGGAAGGATACAGAAGTGGATTGAAAACCAACCAGTAGAAGAATCTGAATAAAAACAGTCAATAAAGGAGACAAATGGAGTTGCAGACTGTCAGTTATCCTGATGGCATGGATAGCCAGAATATTTCCAAGTGGTGTTGGGACCTGAGAATTAACCTAAAAATCAGCCCTGCTCACCAAGGACAGCATGGACGACTGTGCTGGTGGCTGATGACTAAAAAGGGAAACGCAAAGAAGGAGACAAACTGAGCTGTGGACTTTCAGCTGTCCAGAGGGTGCAGCCATTTTGAATGTTTACAAGTGGCAGCCATTTTGAAAATTTAAAGTGACAGCATTCTCCATCAGATTCTGGAGACCTAAGAATAGGCTATACTCACCAAGGACAACAGGGACATATGGGAGGCAGACAACTGAAAAGAGAGAGATGGTGAGTGCATAAGTGCTGCCAACTAGCAAATAGAGGAACACAGAACCCTGCTTACTCAGGTAACATCCAAACAAAAGAAAGAAAATTAAAATCTTGGGTGAATCACTCCCACATACAATCACCAATTAAATATAAACAAAAACATCACAATGTCTCAGAGACAACAGACCATCACAGTCCACACAAGGAAGCAAGATAAAGCAGTACAAACAAGGGGCCAGGATACAGATCCAGAACACATCCTGAGAAAGAAGCAGCATTGGAACTCCCTGAAAAGGAATTCAAAAGAATTATATTTAGGTACCTTCAACAGATTGAGAGACAGATCAAGGAAAACACTGACAAAATTGAGGAAAACAGACAAAACACTAGAACAATTTCAGAAGACAGTACAAGAATGAAATGAAAAATTAGAAATAATACAAAATCTACAGATTAATCTAGAAGATTAATACTAAATTCTCGGAAACAGATAACACAATGAATGGGCAAAGGAGTAGAATTGAATGAATGGAAGACAGAGTTAGTAAGATTGAAGACAAATACCTCTATACTGCTTTTGATCAATCAGAAAAACAGATCAGAACAAAATGAAGAAAGCCTAAGGTTCATGTGGGATAACATCAAAAGTAATAACCTGTGTGTAATTGAAATTGCAGAACAGGAAGACACAGATAAAACTACAGAGGAAATAGTCCAAGATTTGTTGAAAGAAAATTTCCCTGACATAATGAAAGACAAGAATATATCCATCCAAGAAGTCCAATGAACACCAAACAGGATAGACTCCAAAAGAAAATTACCAAGACGTATCATCATCACACTCACCAAAACTAAACACAAATAATGAATCCTGAAAGCAACACAGAAAAAAAGTAAATGCTACCTACAAAGGGCAACCAGTAACACTAAGCTGATGGTTCCTCAGCAGAAACCATGCAGACGAGAAGGCAATGGGATAGTATATATAAAACCCTGAATGAAAAAAAATTCCAGCCAAGAATTATATACCTAGCAAAATTGTCCCTCAAATATGATGGTGAAATTAGGACATTTCCAGATAAGCAGAAACTAAAGGAATTTGTTAAAACCAGACCAGAGATGCTAAAGGGAGTCCTTTGAACAGAGAACCTATTAATAGCAAACTACAACCAACCGTTAACACACATGATGGACTAACCCAGAACCTAATCCAGTTATGGAAGTGTCCAAAGTAAATAAGCTTCCAAAATTGTAAATAGAGACCCAGAGATATCAATTGGCAAATGAGGACAACTACAAACCAAAAAGAGGGGAAAAAATGTGTAACTAACAAAACTTCCAAATGGTAGGGAAGTCAAGACAGCTGCAAGATAAAACCTACTATTCAAAACTTAGGAAAAAAATTATAAATTACTGTCTAACCTCAAAGAAAAATTATAAACCTTCACATCACAATAAAAAAAGAGGACCAGCACGAATATTTAGCAAATACTAAAACTATAGTAACAAAGGAAGTGGTAACATGATCCATAAACAAAACAAGCTCACCACAGAAAATTATATGGAATAAAGAAATCAGCAGCACCACAAAAAACACATAACAAAATGACAGCAACAAATTCATACTTGTTGATAATTACACTGGATTAAATGCACCACTCAAGAGACAGACAGTTGCAGACTGGATAAGAAAACATAACTCATCAATATGCTGTTCTATAAGAGACACACCTTAAAGACAAAGACAAAAGTAGACCGAAAATCAAAAGTTAGAAAAACATATATCAAGCAAGTGGTAACCATAAAAGAGCAGGAATGGCAATATTAATTTCTGATAAAATTGACGTTAAGACATAAACCACCATAAGAGACAAGGAAGGAGATAGGACATTATATAATGATTATAAATCAATTGAACAAGAGGACATAACCGTAATAAATATCTATGCACCCAATGAAAGAG